CATATCCTGCGCACTGTCCTCCTTAATTCATCTGTTCTCTTAGATTTAAAAATCATTCTTTGAATTTTATCCATGTCAGTATCTTTGGACTCTGTTACTCTGGAGTTATAAACTTTAGTAGTAATGTTATTACCTTGTTTTTCCATATTTCTTGTGGTTCTATGTTGAGATCTGTACATCTCTTGGGATGTAGACCTTTTCTATTTTTATACAGTGGTCTTGCCATATGTACTGCCTTTCTTCTGTCAGTGTGACCTAGAGTATAGGTTTGTTGTATAACACTGAATAATTTCCCTGTAGTTTCTTTGGTTGATCTGTGGGTTTGGCACAGAGTGTACCATATCAGGGTTGGGGAGACCCATGGTACCTGGAAGACAAGACTGGGGACACTCTGGTACTTCAGGAAGATGTGGTGTGAGCAGCACAGTATGTGGGATGTACTCTGTGTTTACACCTATTATGGAGTGTTAGCCTGTATCAGGAAATGGGGGTTTACACATAGCTGTTACTTGAAAGAAATTCTGATGCTGGTTCCTCAAGTTGTGTTGAAGGGCCTGAAGCTTTTGTCTTGTGATTGGAGACTGGTACAGCTCTAGGTACTTCACAGCAAGGGGCAGGAGTAGGAATCACAATTCCCCATCTGTGGGACTCACCTTCAGATTTATCAGCCCTTGTTATGGTTTAGATATGAGGTGTCCACCAAAAGCTCATGTGTGAGACAATGCAAGAAAGTTTAGAGGTGAAAGGATTGAGTTAAGATAGCCTGGACCTAATCAGTGCATTAAAACAGTTGAATGGGTTAACTAGGTGGTACTATAGGTAGGTAGGTAGAGTGTGGCTGGAAGAGTGGGTCCTGGAAGCATGCTTTGGGGGTATATATTTTGTCCCTGGTGAAGGGAATGGTCTCTCTGCTTCTTGACTGTCATGTCCTGAGTTCCTTCCCTTCTCCATACCCTTCTGCTATAATGTTCTGCCTCACCTCAAGACCAGAGCAATGAAGTTAGCCTGTGACCTCTGAAACTGTGAGCGCCAAATAAACTTTTCCTTCTCTACATTTGTTCTTGTCAGGTCTTTTGGTCACAGTGACAAAAACAGCCCTACTCAATCTGATCAGGTATGGCTGCCATTGATGTAGAGGACCTGTATAGATATACCGTCATTAACCACTGTTTTTCCTCTCTGCTACTACATGGGGTTATCTGCCCAGGAACCAGACCTCAGTCGCCTACAAGTGCCAGCTCATGGATGGATCAACAGCCAGGAGTTTTTGTCCCCCCACCCTTCTTTTCTTTAAATACAGTGTCTTCCAGGGTTTCAGCAGGACCAGAGATGGGCAGAACTAGGCTTAATTCCTGAGCTGGCTTGCACCAAATTTACACTCTACAACTGGTCATCATATTTGATCATACAGAACATTTATGATCTCAACAAACATGGAAAGTAGGGATTTAGCAAAGTTCAATTTCAATATCTTTATTCATCCAAAATCTGATATTTGGCTTTGGCTTCTAACTGTGGAAGGTCTTAAGGCTGAACAGTTAGCTGCCTCAGTGGCAATTCTAGCATCCTTCACCTTGTGTGTGTGATAAATAATTTTTATGTTCATGTCACTACCATTATACCTATCTACAAAACATCAGTAATGGGGATTAGGAAGAATTTAGAATGTTCATCAGAAAGTTTAATGGTAGATCAACACCTGAGTATTCATGAAATATAAAGTGAAATATCCAAGTCCAATTAGATGAGTCCTGTATCTCATACGTTGAAATTCTATCAGTTTAAATATAAAAGATATTTCTTATGAAAGTAAAGAGCTCAATTAACGATATATGTGAGTTTTATGTTAAAAAATGAAGATCACTAAATGTAAAGAATATTAAAAGAGTGATTTAGCTAGATAACTTTGCAAATAACAGTATATGCTGTTTCAGTCAAATGTTTACAACAATTTAAATAACTCAGTTATAAAACAGATACTATCTTTTTTTTTTTTTTTGGAACCAGGGACTGAACCCAGGGTCATTTAATCACTGAACTACATTGCTAGCCCTTTTTATTTTTTATTTTGAGTCACAGTCTTGCTAAGTTGCTGAGGTTGGCTTTGAACCTGAGATCCTCCTGCCTCAGCCTCCCGGTAGGATTATAAACGTGTGCTACTGTGCCTGGCTGCTAAAGTATATCTTAAGTCTAACTTTCACATAACTGTTCTCCAATATTATTACAAACAAAATAAATAACCTTTAAGAACTGCATTTAATTTGCAGTTTCACAACCAAAGAGTCACATTTAAGACTATGAGAATGAATTCAAATGTTGACCTTTTCATCTCAATGTTATATAAAAAAATTATAAACAAAAAAATCTATAATCACAATCAATGACATCCATAAGTCATTTTTAAGTTAAACATAGGTTCAATCCCCAGCATAACAAAAAAGCAAAACAAAGCACAACAAAAAGAATATCAAAAGTATGAAGAAAAAATTGTTGAGAAAAAAAATGAAAATACAAAACACATTTTACATTCACTAGCCAAATTTTAAAATACACTTCACAAAAATGCAAAAATGCTACAAGACAATTTCTTATCATTTTTGAGAGGGGATGAGGAAGTTCTGTGGACTGAACCCATGGCCTGGTGCACGTTGGGTAAACACTGTTCCACTGAGCTACATTCCCAGTCTAGTTTCTTGTAGTTTTGCATCCATGGAGACAAAGCATCCACAAAGAGGTTTGCCAAAATGACCACTAAACATTGCCAGCAATTTTTAGTAGTTGAAGATGAAGAATCTTTGAGGCCTTCCAAGCTATCAATCTCAGGCAGAAGGATGCTTCTAGAAACTTCCACTAAAAATCCTCCTGAACGCTGTTTTGTCCAAGAAAACTGATGATGGGACCAAGGATGCCAGCCAGAGAGGTACCAGACACAGTCAGCCCAGCATGTAGCAGCACTCTCCAATGGCTTTTCCTAGCCTCAAATTTCAAACTTTTAAAACCTAACTACTAAAATGTAATATAACATAGTCATGAAAGATGTTTTAATAAAATCTGAAATTTATTTTTATATCTAGAATTTATATTTTATGATGTTGTTACTCCACTTGGGCACCAATGACCTGAACACTTGACCCTGATCTGGGGTTAAAGTTCATATTAAATGAACCTTTAAAAAAAAATGGAGTATGAAAAAAGCCACAAAATTTAAAAATGAAAAGTCAAACTTAGGGCTGGGGATATGGCTCAAGCAGTAGCACGCTTGCCTGGCATGCATGCGGCCCGGGTTCGATCCTCAGCACCACATACAAGCAAAGATGCTGTGTCCGCCTAGAACTAAAAAATAAATGTTAAAAATAAATTCTCTCTCTCTCTCTCTCCTCTCTTAAAAAAAAAAAAAAGAAAAGTCAAACTTAGAAAGCTTTCCCCATTTACAAGGGAACAATACTTCCTATCACCTACAATATTTAGTAAGTCCCTGTTTATAAACTAACAGATTGTTAAGCAACAAGTCTTAGCCTTATTTCACAATTCCTATGACACATGTGAGGTGACGGTGAACAGTAAGAGGCAGACCACTGAACCAAAAATGACTCACATTAGCAGTCTATGCATAAAGACAGTAGACCAAACACCTCCCATCTTCCCTATGCCTTTCCTATATACACACAACTCTGTTATAACTGGCATTCTTGATGGTAAACTTGAAATTACAGTTCATTGATCAGTTAGGTGACTAAGACTAAATTCAGATCCACAAAAATTGTCAGAGCCTCGATATTTATGAAGCATACAGTTCTGGGGGTAAAATGATTAAAAACAAATTATTAATTCCTAAAAACAACTAAAACATATAATTTATCCCCCCAAAACTAATTTAAGACAATTAACAGATACAGCCATATTAAGATGTGAATGCTCAGACTTGGGCTACAATTCAGTGGCAGAGCACTTGCCTAGCATGTGTGAAGTACTGGGTTTAATCCTTAGCACCACATAAAAATAAACAAAGGCATTCTGTCCATCTACAACAACAAAAAGAGGTGTAAAAGCTCAGCCAGGCATGGCAGCACGCATGTAATCCCAGCAGCTCAGGAGGCAAGGCAGAAGGATCGCAAATTCAAAGCCAGCCTCAGCAATTTAGCGAGGCCCTAAGTACCTTAGTGAGACCCTGTCTCTAAATAAAATACGAAAAAGGATTGGGAATGTGGCTCAGTGGTTAAGCGCCCCCGGATTCATTCCCCAGTACCAAAAAAAAAAAAAAAAAAAAAGGGGCTGGGGATGTGGCTCAAGCGGTAGCGCGCTCGCCTGGCATGCGCAGGGCGCTGGGTTCGATCCTCAGCACCACATACAAATAAAATAAAGATGTTGTGTCCACCGAAAACTAAAAACAAATATTAAAAAAAAAAACTCTATCTCTTCTCTCTCTTTAAAAAAAAAAAAAAAAGATCCAAAAAAAAAGACTCACTTATCCATCCAGGATGAAGTCCCACACCAAGAAGGTTAAGGACAGGGGTCCAAGACATCACATTTGGTTTGCTGATATAAGCCAAATGGATTTCTAAGGCTCAATCAGTGTTGAGAACCTGTACTGGTTAAATGTCATGTCTTGGCAAACAGGCCTGAAATTATTTCATGGTTAGAACCAGGCTTTGCTGCTATACAAAAGCTATTTCTATCATAGGTCCAAAAAAGTGACTACCAATATGACCTCAGGAAAATTGCATAACATCTTTGAGCCCAATTCCTCACCTGTAAGTTGTGGATACACCAGAAGCATGCTGTGGAGAAGAAAACAAGTAACACACAGGATACACCTAGCACAGTGCCTGGCATTGAGTAAGCAATTAATAAATCAGAGGGGTCAGTGCCTGGCAGGCAGCTAAAACCATAAATGTGAAATCTTTCAATGCAAAGAAGCACCTGCTGCTAATACACCCATGGACAAGGTGAGTAATTCCATTCAACCTTCCCCCAACCACTAGGCTGCATTTATACCTTACCTGTTCTGAGGAAAATTGGTACTTCAGTTTCCAGTGTTCTCAACTTGGTGTCTTTCATGGTCACTGGAGGGAAAACACACACAAATATGTGCATAACAGTCTTACAATGGAGTAATGTTCATCTGGTACAACTCCTTCCTGCTCCATCCTGACAGAGAGCCATGTGGTTTCTACTGGAATGAACACTTATAATTATTGGAAGCATGTGTCTCAGCATTTCTGAGCAGCTCACTGCTAGAAAATTCTTTATATGTGCTGTGCTGAACTGGGAATCTCTGCCTTTTGTTAACCATTGGAGCTACAGGGGACTGGGCAAGACAAGCTCTAGAATAAGTTCCAAGTTGAAATCCAAGCTCTGCCACTTTTTAGTGGTGTAACTTTTAGCTATTTATCTTAAGTCTAATGTCTGACCTTGAGTCAACCTTACCTGTAAAGTGAGAATAATAGCACCAACCTTATAAGATCATTCAAGATTAACTGAGATGACACATCTTATTGGAGGACTTTGAGGCAGTCCCACAGGAAGGACAGTAAGAGGCACAAAGCACTGGGTGGACCTGAATCGCCTTCTCACCCCCACCCCCTACACCCTGGCTTACGCACCTTTCAATTTCTCAGCCAAGCTGCATCACATACCCACCTGAGGACTATGCACACCTGTCCCTGTGCCCTGCCACCTCCTAAACTAACTCTTTATCCTGAAGGTATCAACTTAAAACACTTACTTCACCAGAGAAGCCTGCCTAGGTCTCGTCTTCCCCAACTCCCACCTCCAGACTAGGTCTTACGTCCCTTACTGCAGCCCAATTAATATGTGGAATTCGTTTTTGGAAAAATTTAAGTTGCACTTTGAAGAAACTATAGCTGATTCTATACTCTAGGAGCTACCACAGTGTCTGCTTGTTGACTGAATGATTAAGAGTTAGAATATTTCCTAGATAAATAAGCCTAATTCTGCCTTTAAGCAGCACTAAGTCTAATCCTTCTGATAGGCATAAAATACTTGTGAACAGCTATTTCTCAACTTTCTTCCTCTTTTTACCCTACTTTCTGTCAAATTATCTCATTATTCATGTTAAATGAGTATATATAAATACACTCCAGTCTGCTTTAAAAATATTAGCCCTTCAATTATGTTTAGAAATGATCTGATCCACAAGACTGTAAACTCCACTGAGGACAGAGGGCATCTGTTTAGGACACTGAAGCCTATCTTGGCATACAAGAGGCAAAAATACAAAGTTCAGGTCCTTAATCTCATTAACTTTTTAATCACCATTCACAGGCTAAATATACAGAATGGAAGGGGGGCCTCATATACTATATACACCAATTGCACTGAACTCAGAAGAGACTAGAAACAAACTCTAAGATTTAAAATCCTGATCAAAGTCAAACAGGAGGACAAAGCAACTCTATAACAATTAAAATCTTTCACTCCAGATGACAGGGTAATAATAGTTCCACGTGGAGCACATTCGGGAACTTCATGCCAATGGTCCTCAGAAATCCCTGCAAGCATGTAAGGCCACTGCTGCAGGCTGGCCAGCCCTTCAGAGGAATCAGCCTGGCCACCCTTGCTCCACCAAGTCAGAGAGCTGCAACTGGTGCTGTGTTCCCTCATCTCAGAATCTTTAAATCTGCTGTTAGCTCAGGAAGTCATGTTGACTTCCTCTTACAATTAATCCCAATTGGATCTTTAACCTGAAAAGAAATATCTAAGGCAAGGGTAAAATTAGCATACACCAAGAAGAGACCTTGCCCAGACAAGATCACTGAGCAAGATAAAGTAACTACCAGTGGAAAGCAAACAAGGTTTTCTCCAGTGCTCAACACTAAGACTCAACATCTTAATCATCACAATTAAAAAAAAAAAAAAAGTAATGGGACTTAACCAACATAATTTTTCATGCTGTCACCATTATTTATATTTTAAGTGTTCATTTACTTATTTACTTATATATACACCCTGCCCTTCGGGGGTACTACTGGGTACCAGCATTCAGATCAATGAAGTGAGATATAATGTGTGAACCTACCTGGAAATGAGGAATATTGATGTTAACACCTGTTAGAACATAATTACATCAACTCTCATTCTTCCAAAACCAAATGAAAAAAGAAACATCCCAAAATCTAGGTTTCTCCCTTTTTGCTATCTGCTCCAAAAGTTTTCTTCTCACCTATATGAAACATTGTAACTTCACTCCTATAAGCAGTCTTTTTGAATATAAAGAGCAGGTTTGAGGGGAAAGATGAGGGCTCCATGCTTTTGGTATTCTTCAATTAAACAGAAGGAACATACAGGTCCATTTGTTTTCACAGTTAATATAATTAATTTCATTCTTTAGGTGCTTGTAGATGGATAGCTTATATACCTGGGATTACACGTGTACTTCAGAGTAAAAGCCACAGCTTTCATGAGCAGAATCTGTACCTGCCCTAGACAAGATGCATTATGAGTGCTGCAAGGGCTAAGAGCTAGGAATAACTTTATGAAATGCTAGTGGCAGGCACCTAAATGCCTTTAGTTAGTATTCTAGCTGAAATTATGAGCTGAATATTCAGATATTTGGAAAACCAGTGTTGTGATGTGTGGCCTAGAAAACTAATCCCCCGGCTTCCCGAGGACTGTGACTGACATAAAAGCGGTAACTGCATATCAAATCACCTAAGAGAGTTTTGTACACATTTGTCTATAATGTACAAAGGCAACTGCAGATATGTGAAGGTAGGTATTTCTTCACTTTAACTTGTTTCCTATATTCAAGTTTTTAGCTTCAAGAATCCAAAGACAATTCACACAGATTCACACACAAATGGACTATTGCATCATAAAAGTACAGCCTAGATAGAGCAGAAACATTACACTGTTGTGTTTATGTTCAGCTCTGGTTCGTGAACTCTCAGGTGATTTCTTAGAGTAATATTCTAACAATTGAACCAAGTTGCCTTCAGCACTAATGCACTAATGGTAAAATACTTGGTTCAATTTTTTCTTCTTATGGATGCACAGATAACAAAGGGTAGAAAATACTGGAAGACGGGGCAAGAAATCTGCTGCACTTAGTATGTGAGAGTAAAACAGCTGATGGCCAAAGGTGCCAGAATGTGTAGGCAAGAACAATTTAAACTGTCTCAGCAGTTACTCTCTTCTCAAGGTCACAGGATCTGGGGCAGGAGGGCTCCAACTTGCCAGACTCTCTATTCAAAATTTCTGTCCTTTGGCACCTTGACAGACAGTTCACTAAAGTTCATATCTTATTCCAAAGGTGATGAATCCTCTAGCAATGTACCTGTGGGTCCAGATTTTGGTAAGGTGCATCTCTTCCAATAATATTACTTACATCCTGATTTTCTATTAGCATGAATAAAATTATATACCAAATATGCAGCCAGAGAGATATCATGTATGTTTCATAAAGTCACCATGTCAGAATTGAGGCTTCTGTAGGTTTCAAGTTTATAGGATCAAAATAGAAATATTTTAGGGTAGAAAGACACCAGGTTTGACAATCTAGAACAGTGGTTCTCACACCACCAGCATCAGCATCACCTGGGAATTCGTTAGAAATGCAAATTTTTGGGCCCTGTCCCAGATTTCTATATCAGAAACTGAGGGAGCGAAGGCTTTGAGGTGCTTCTGATGCCCACTATGATTAAGAATCACTGGCCTACAAAGAAGATAGAGGGAAGAAGGCAAGAAACATCATTCATTCATTCATTCACATCTGCTTTGAAGCTCAAAAGGGAAAAAAATATATATAAACCTTGGGAAACTAATAGAATTCTGCCAGGTGCAAAGAAATAGACTGAATGCCAAGCCTGAGAAGCAGCTTGCAGGTTGTATATCCAAGTTCTTCACTTCTCTTTTACTGTGGCATCTAAGGTTGAATTTTCCAGTAAAGTGTAAAAAATCTTCCACTACAAAAGTTTAGTAAGATGGTTGGTGACACAAATAACACACAAGTTCACTTTGAAAAGACTTAAGCCTTCCTACCTACTGGTTTAAAGAAACCTGTTTCATACAACTCAGGTCCTTTTTTAAAAGCAATAATCCATCCAAAATCACTGGCTAGGCTTTAAGCTGAGTTCATTAAGTTTCTGACATTACATCCAAAATTCCACGTTCGTATGCATTTTTTGGTGGTAATGGGACACAAAGGGTAGAGGAAGGGACATAGCTTTTCATAGATTTTTAGAAGAAATAAAACCTGCCCCCACCAAAGTTAAAAACCACTGACCTCTGAGTTAATTAGGAGATGAACAGATCAGATAGTTTATCACAGTGCAAGATTAAACACTGGGGTTCTGGAGTCCACCAATCAATTCCTATCTCAGCTTTGTCACTGAGTAAGAGACCTTAGGCAACTTACGTCATATCCCCTAAGCCTTCGATTCCTTTCTTACCCTGCCCTCTTAAGGCTGTATGAAGAGTAAACAGGATTAGACATGTAAAAAGCTTAGCACAATGTTTAGCACATAAGCACTCTATATAATCTCTCTTGTAACAACATACTACTAAACAAAATGTATTGCTGAGTACATAGCACGTAGCAGTCTATCCATTTAACACCTTGTGTTTGAAAGACCAATAAAAATCATTCTATAATTTAAAATGGATACACTTCCAAGTTTGTCACTATGTTCTGTGAAAGATGCAGATCGCACGGTCTTGACGACAGTAGACTGGGAAGGGAACCACATCTCTTCTTCCCAGCACTCCCCACAGTACCTTCTACCACATCACCAACTCCAGGCACGACCATCTTGTTGCTCCAACATAGTCCTCTAAAGCCATATGTTTACTTCACAGATTGACTTAATCAAAGCTGCTTTATTAAGGCACTTTACTCACTAGATGTCAATCTGAACACATTCAAACTTAAAATATATTCTGTTGCCCTCTTTTCCTCTATACAAGACAAGTTAGAATTCCACAAGAGAACAGCCAACAAGAAACTAACAAAGTCCTGAAATCATGTACTTTTWATTTAAATATATATTATGAATTTTTATTCTATCCCATTAAAAAAAACATTAAATAATAAATTTTTAGTGCCTGTACGTTTAAGTAGTAAATCAGAGAAAGAATAATCTCCAACTGCTATTGGAAGGCTTCTTCAAACCAATTTAAATGGAAAAAATAAGTATTTCATGCAAACTAAATTATATTAGTTATCAACTGATGACCTGAGTTTTAAAAAGCTCAGTGTTTGAGTGTGTGCATTTGTACATTAATATATACACACATATGCAAACAACTACAAATTAGAATGCTACTGAGTATACTTTTCTTTCATGCCTACAGCTACTGAAAGGACAAAACTAATACAAATGAAACCAATTCTTCAAAGAGAGTTTTATAATATAAAGAATTCATAGGAAATCGCCTTTTTAGAAATACTATGATATAAAGAATAAATACCTATCAAGTGAGCTAAAAGTCACCAATTCATTTTTTTTTTCTTTTTCAGTACCAGAGGTACCATCTGCAGCCCTTTTTTATATTTTATTTAGAGACAGGGCCTTGCTAAGTTGCTGAGGCTGGCTTTGAACTTGCGATCCTCCTACCTCAGCCTCCCAAACCACTGGGATTACAGGCACGTGCCACTGCACTCCATTCACTTGATTATTACAAAACCATTGACACTTTGAGTCCATGGATTTAGTTGGAATGCTTAGCTGAAGCCAAAATGACTTTTAAATTCCAGAAATTTAGACTTACAGATACTCATTAGTTACAGTCCAACTCTTCCTTCCAGATGGAGAAACTAAGGCTCAGAGAACTTAAATAACTTTTTAAAAGTTTTTTTGTTGCTGTTGTTTTTTGTTTTGTTTGTAGTACTGAAAATTGAACTCAAGGGCTTTCTATTACTGAGCTACATCCCCAGGCCTTTTTATTTTCTAATTATGAGACAGGGTATCACTAAGTTGCTTAGGGCCTCACTGAGTTGCTGAGGCCGGCCTTGAACTTATCCTCCTGCCCCAGCCTCCCAAGTGGCTGGGATGACAAGCATGTGCGACCTGCTAAGTTGAATACTTTTTGATTCTTTAGAAAAGCTTGAAATATTGATGTATTGCTGTATTTGGCTCATTGGCATCCAAGAATATCCAGTTAACTCCAGGAGAAAATAATTGTAGTCCATCATGCCACTGGAACCTAGAAACAAACATACCTGTAGCCTCACAAACTTGGAAAGAAAACAGAACTTTAAGTTCAAATAAGCTTTAATTCAGAGCCCAAAACTCATCCACCATTACACACATTAGAGGCTGGCTATTTTAAGAAATGCCTCTGCAATAAATTATAAATGAAAAGAAAACAGTCAAACTGATGCTTTAAGCCCGTAGTCATCAGGTCATCAACTTCCGGTGTATGTGAGAATTAGTCTTCTTCCAAAATGTTCCCAGTGACAGGGTGTCCTCAAAGACTGAACATTGTAGGTCTACCTACACAGGTTGGATACCTGTGCTTTCAGATTCACTGCATTTTGAGATTCCTTGTTCATGGCATTTTCGTTATTCTGTAAACACTACACAAACAGGTATATGTTAGATTTACCTAGTGAGGCTGTTCAATTTCATCTCATGATTGGAACCAAGCATGCTCAGAAGGCCCTAAATTATACAACAGCAGCAGTGACAGATGTCTTCACTCACCCATTAAAGGGAGAGTACAACTGAGTCACAGGGTTTGAGATACCCCTGTTTAATTAAAACATGCAAGAAGGCTAGTAGCCTTCTTTCCAACCAGGAATTTAGGAACACACCAAGTGTTTATGACACCAGGAAATGCATGAAGCAAAGAAAGCTTACATCATGCAGGCATGTGATGTAAGAGTATTTTGGATAAGATATTAACTTTGGTAGGAGGATATTTTCCATTTACATCTCCCATAAATACCGCTTAAGTTTACACAAAGTGGTTAGAGGAAGATTCTGCAGCTCCCCAGGGCAATAATAAAGAATGGTTCAGTGTTTCTGAGGAGCCTCATTTGCCTGATGCACGACTGTTATAGGTATATTTCCCTACAAAACCCTAAATCAGTTTTTATATTTGCATATTCCAGGTTTGCTCAGGAATGCTCAACTTAAGAATCACAGGTGGCTGCTCAGCAAATCAAAGGCTCCCATAAGATTAGTTTTGTAATGCTTCCTGAAATTTACTGCTCCACTTTCCAGCATGTTTGAATTCAGATGACTCCAAGTTGATCCCCAAATCATAAATCAAAATATCTCAGAAGAGTATTATTCTATTTTAGTACTTTTACAGCTTACTCTATGTAAAATGAAGTGCTATTTCCACACCTTCTATTAAAAAAAAAAAAAAGCAAGGATTATAGCAGGACTTCTTGCCATAAACACATCAGGTTTAAAAAAATACCAAATACTTTCCAGCCTAATTTAGACTAGCAAGTTTACAGGCACAACACTATCAGAAACAAAAGCATAAGGCATATAAGCCAAGTGCACCCCCCTTCAAAAGGAAACACACACACACCTTGACCAAATGATTAATTCTAATCACTTAATGACAGACCAGCTTTAGCAGTCAAATAAAAAAATCATGTCTTCGAAATCCGTCAGACCTCAGTTCCAGTCCTCGCTCAGACCTTGGACAAGTTACCCCAACCTACTCTGGCCTCAGTTTCTCCATCTGAGAGGAAGAGGTATTTATAGTAACCGCCTCTTCCTTTGAGCAAAACCAAATAGATGGTGACTGCAAAGCACTTTACAGGGCCTGGCACACAGTCAGCAACCCACAAATGTTAGCTGATGTTAGGAGTTAGGAGGGCCGCGCCCCCTCCGAAGTCTCCCTCATCCCAAACCCAAAAGACAGAAAGCAAAACTCTTTAGCAGGCAACAAAGAAAGCGCTTTAATTCCAAGAGGTGTCTGACTGCAGGCTCCACCAGTTCCTCGAATGAATGAATGAGCGGTTCTGCGAATAGCTGTCGCCTAAGAATCACCTGTGCGGACCTCAAGGTAACTGTCCTCCACCGTCAATTAAACACCCACGAGCACACCCGGAGCTAGGCACTGCGGTCATGCAAATTTCGGCGGAGCCCGGCGCGCAGGGCAGCTTTGGATGCCCACGAGCGGCCTCCATTCATTCTTCTCCGCCCCGCCCGGGTCATCTTCCGAGGCCCAGGACCCGCCCCATCTCAGCCCAGCCCGGCCCGGCCCGGCCCGGCCCCAGCGGCTGAGGGTCCCTCCCCCGCCCTCCGCGCCCGCGGCAACCTGTCGCCCACCGAGCAGGGCCGGCCCCGACGCCGCCTCGCCTGCCCTCCGCGCACCAGGCCGCGTGCAGCCCACCCAGCGGCCGCCAGCGAGCGGCCGGGTGTCGGCCGGGCCCATCTCACCTCCTCGGGGATCCGCCAGCCCCGGCCGGGCCTCGGGGACCGGCCGCGCATAGAGAGGGAGCGGAGAGCGCTCCGTAGCCCCGGCCCAGGCCCCCCACACCCAGCCGGCTCGCCCCTTGTCTCGACGCGCCGGAGCTTCCCCGGCGGGGGCCGAGCTACCAGGGCCGCCCCGAGGAGCTCTAGGCGAGAGGAACAGCGGACGCCCCCATACTCACCCACCTCTCCTCCCCCGCCGCTGTTTACCTCACAGTCCCTCCAGCCTACAGGGCGCCGCCATCTTGGACTCGCAGCACCTCCCCCTGGCGTGAAACGTCCACGGCCGCCGGAAGCCTCCGCCACGGAAAAGAGTCCCCAGCCGGGCCGCGCCTCGCACCCGAGTTCAGCGACGCGCGGCCGAGAACCGAAGCGCCGCCGATGGAGCGGGCCGTTACGCTCATCTTTGAGGCTGCGGGCGGCTGCTGCGGAAAAGGACCAAGGAGCGTTTTCAGTGCAGGGGGCGGGGACGGCGGAAGGATCCCAAAGGGAGGCTGCCGAGAGATCTTGTGACTCCGAAGGAGGCGAAAGAAGGCCCGGCGCGACGGGAGGAGCCACGCGGCGCCGGGGGCGGAGCGGGCGGGGCGCTCACGTGACGCCGGCCGAGGCGTAAACAAGCCGGCCCGCGGGCGTGGCGCGCTGCTGCTTGTAGTGCGGTCGGTGCTCTGGGGTCCTCCTGCGCGCGGCTCTGGGCCACCGTCCTGCTCCCCGACCTGTCTCTGCGGCCCGCGTGGGTGAAAGGCCTGCTCTTGAGCCATAGGGTGGGGGTGGGGGTTGCAATCTCTCTTTCTTTTGCAGAATATTTGCAAAAGCGCGGCGCTGTGTCTCTGCGGAGAACCACTCTGGCTTGTGCCATCATGTTACCGACACTTCACACTTACCTACTCGTGACACCAGGAAAAAACAGCCCTAGTAAAAGGAGGCAGCCTTCAAATCACAGACCTTGATTTGTATCCCGCTCTGCTACTCCTCGCGGTGAAAGCCCAAGCTTCCGTTTCTTTCACTGAAATGGGCACAATATTCGCGAATTGGGGGATCCAGGAAGATCCCAACATGGGAAGCGTTTAGCATAGGACCCCACGTCTAGTAGGTACTTAGTGGGTGATGGTCTCTAGGAGGCAGGGGGCAGATGAAAGCCGAGAGGGGCAGAGAGCAAGGCAGGGCAGAGTCTAGCTGTGGTATCTGAAAGGCTTTGTGGAGTGGGCATCAGGCTGGGTGTTAAAGAACAAAAATGGAAGAAAAGGGCATTACAGGCAGAGAGAACCAAAGAAGCAAGAGCCTTCAGCAAACAAATGGGGTGAGTGACTGGAATAACATGGAAACCAACTAGGTCACAACACACGTTGGCATGTGATTACGGAGTGAGATGGGGAAGTGGCCAGCACAGTGGATGCTGTCAGAATTCTGAAAAGTCAGGGTGGTCCAGGGAAGGGCTAGTGCTGGTAGGATTGGTGCCCTTGTGGAATTAGAAAAGTACACCCCCTTTGGGCCCACTGTCCCAATGAGCAGAGCCCAGCCCTCATATTCCCCCTCCCACCCACTCCCAAACCTCATAGGGGAACTTTGAGCAGTGGACACCCTTTAGAATCAAATTATAAAGCTTTTTCCAGTGGCTGGAGATGCGGCTCAAGTGGTAGTACGCTCGCCTAGCATGCGTGCTGCCTGGGGTTCGATCCTCAGCACCACATACAAAGATGTTGTGTTTGCCGAAAAATAAAAAATAATTATTAAAAAATTCCCTCCCCCCCCCGTGTCTGTCTCTCTCTCTCTCTCTCTCTCTCTCTCTCTCTCTCTCTCTCAAAATAAAATAAAATAAAGCTTTCTCCAGAAGGCTTATGAGGAAGGTGGAAATTGAGCTGGGGAGTCCATGGTCCAACACAGTTACACAGGCAGCTGAGGAAAGCCAAGAGCTCTAGATTCAAAGCAGTTTGAATACAAGTTTTGTCACATGAAGAGAGATGGCTTGGAAAAAGTGTCCAGGGCAGGACCAGCCCAGTTCTTGACACACCTGATGAAAAAGAATTTCACCGTGCACCATTCAAAGACATATAGGTTTATTTAGGAGAGTAGATACATATCCGAGGGAAAATGTGGGCTGTCTTCAGATGGAGAGGAGAGACAACAACCTTTTGGTGTGGAGATGAATATTCATAGAGGGATTATTGCTAGGGTCTGGCTACAGGGTGAGCCAGGTAGAGCTACGTGACTGCACGCCAGTGTTCCCTGTACTTGCACATTCCCCTCATGGGTTACAAGGGCCTGGGCCAAGGCATGTGCTCAGGAGCTGCCATTCTGCATGGGTGCTCTCTTTCAGGCCTTCATGAGTGTCTCCTGCATTCCAGGGGTTTCTGGGCACTTCCTTTGAGACTCAGTGTTTCTTCCTTTATTCCCAAATTCCTATCTCAGTTTCTGCTCTCATGGTAACTCAGTGAGCCTTGGTCTCCTCACCTGCAACATAGGGTGATAATAATGGGCACTTGGGGCAGATTCAATGAGAGATTAAGATGCAATTAGTGCAGAGCCAATTCCACCCATGTCAGATTCATTGTTAGCTTTGCTCACCACCAGTGGCCAACAGTCTCTGGAGTTGATCTGCCAATTCTTGTAGCTGCCCAAGCATGGTCCTTCTGGAAGGGGGGAGGAGTAGGGGGAAGGATCCATGTACTCTCAGTTCCACAGGTCTGTAAACCAGATCACAGGAAGAGATACTGCCTTTGCGTACTCACGAGTGCAGGCATTCAAGTTTGTTCAGAGATTTCTGAGGCCACCAGTGGCTGGGAGAGTTAAGGTTATTGAGGAGTGGGGTGGAGGGCTCAGGCACTGCTCCAGAGTGCTGACCCTAGAGCCCCGGCTCCCTACCCCACCTTCCTTGGCTCCATGAATTCCTGCTGGAATTCACTCCCCCTGTAAGGGAGCAGGGACACAGAGCTCATCAGCAGCTGGCTCTCAGGGGGGCTGTAAATACATTGTTACTGTTTATACAGTGTTTGGAAGAAGAATGGCAATTGTTACCTCAATAAGRACTGCCAAGGGCTTGTGAGAAGAGGCCCCGGGAGGGGAAGAAACCTGAAGACGGCCCTGCCACCTGCTCTTACCCATCTGAGATGCCTGATATTTTTGCTTCTCTGAGGTTGAATTTTGTCACTTGCGGAATACATGTTACTCAGACCCCCTCCTTCCCCACATCAGCCCAGAGTCTCCCATAGCAGGGGCCTCCCGTTGGTAGGTATTGCTGACTGTGGCCACTGTTGCCCTTGTCTGCAGCATCTCTCCCTCCCCCTCTGAGGAGGTACATTGCCCTTCCCCAGTTCCTCACCAGACAGTTATAGTGCTGCCCCAGGCCACTGGACTAGGCCTAGCCAATCTAGCAAAGAGATTGGCTCACTGTTGGTCATGTGAGTTGAGCACAGCCAACTGGAATGCTTCTCTGGGTCTTTATATATAGACATTAGAAGAGATTTCTCTCTTTGGGGGGTCACCAAACTGGGATGAGGAAGCCATGACCTTTCCCTTCCCCGGTACCATTTTGAGCTATATGAGAACCCTGGCACAGAGAAGGGAGACACTGAGACGAGAGGGATGAAGGGACTGGAGGGGGCGGTTCATGGTAGAGCACCTGCTAAGCTTATCCTCAGCCCAAAAAAGGAGGAGAGAGATGGAAAGAGGAGAGCAGATGCTGGCTCCTGCATTTCTGGAGTCCCTGAGACCAACTTTATCTTGTTTTTCCAACTTCCACAGAGCAATAATTATTTCAGCTGATGCTGGCTTCCATGGGTTTGTGTCCCTTCTGAACAAAAGGCCTTCTGGAAGGATGAACAGGACTGGGAGGCCTCCGGAAGGACAGCATTAGAAACATCCCCCCACCCAGTGCCTGAAGCTCGTCCATTTGAATGTTCTCGGGCTTCAGCTTTCAGCAGTTTGCATGATAGCTCCTGGCCAGTCTCCCTGACTTCAGTGACCACACATCTGCAGAATCAAAACCAAGCCCCTCTGCAGCCCTGACCTCTCCTCTTGCTGTCCAGCACCATGTCCCCCAGTGCCCCGGACACCCAGAAGCTCCATGCCTGCCCTTCTCAGGCTGTCTCCACTTCTTCATACAGGCAGCCTCATCCTCCTGTGCCGGTCACTCTCCATTGGTCCTTCTTTCTCTGGGCTCCCCTCCACTGCCAAACCTTTGGCTTCCTATTGCATTTGACCAAAATGAGATGGGCTCAGAGGAGGAAGAAGGAGCTGTGCTACCACAGATCCTGCATCTGATCTGGCTTACCCTGTGTATTAGCAGGGACTCCCTCCCCTTACTCCTTTTCAGTACCAGGGATTTAACCCAGGGGCACATCACCACTGAGCCACATCCCCAGCCCTTTCTTGTATTTTATTGAGAAACAGGAACTTGCGGAGTTGCTGAGGCTGACTCTGAACTCATAATCCTCCTGCCTCAGCCTCCTGAGCCACTGGGATTATAGGTATGTGCCACCACACGTGGCCCTCCCCTTACTCTCAATACCCAGATGTGATCATAGTGTCCTGTGTCACTAGTCCCCAGGTACATCATCGTCTCTGGTGTTTCTGAAGCTGCTCATACCTTTGTCTTTTAAATTGTCCCACTAAAGATGCTGCTGGTTCCCACCAAGATCCTAACAGCTACAGCCAATTCTAAGAGGATCTGCCCATGGTCTGGGGTACCCACTGTGAACCACTCCAAATTCATAGACGGTCTCACATACCTGTGCATACATACCTGATTGGACCTGGATTGGGCTGAAAACGTCTCCCAAACCAGCCAGAGTCTTCTTGAGAATTTTGCAGTGAGATCCCAAGGCTAAGAGCCGGAGTTGGTTGAGGCTTGTAAGTTTGTGCAGCTCCTGGGACCTTTTCCAGGGAATGCAGACCACATACAATACTCCTGCCTGGGTTTGTGTGACAAGGCCAAACAATGTTGGTCCCTGGGGGTCAAGTGGAGTTGGATCCAGTCAGGTCCCCTCAGCACCCTGGACAGCAGAGGGTAAACTGTCAAGAGACTTGCTGGGGAAGCCTTGTGCCCAGACCAGAAGGGGGCAGACGTGATGCAACATAGGCCCCTGAGGAGGAAGGACAGCCCAAGGGGCCTGGCTGTCTGTCCTTCCTGCTTCAGCCTGGAAGGTGCTTCTATATCTTTTCAATCCATTTCACTTTTATTAGCACCTTTTTCCGTTCCTGGCGACCAAACAAGGCTGGTGGTGGCCAGAACAGTGTCCTTTCTTCTTCACCCGGTCACTCCTGTTCTTCCT